GTTATTTTCTAACTTGTGCACTTTTTTTTTTTTTACTTGTTAAAATTTATTCAAGACATAAATTTTTGTACCAATATTAAGTTTCTTAACCCATGTTTTTACCTCCTAAAATCAATCAGCAGAGTTCTTCCCCAAAGATCAACAGCAAAATAACTGAGTAAAAGGAAGTTATTTAAAAAAAAAAAAAAATTAATTAAAGAGAAGATTGAAAAAAATTTATAAAATAAGAGCAAGAATTGTTTAAAGAATTAATATATACAGAGATAGGGGGGGAAAAAAATCTAGTTTTTTTTCTCTGATCAAAAAAAAAAAAAAAAAAAAAGCCCTAATGAGCAAGATTTGTGACTGACCCCTTGGAACTCCAATGCTAAAATTTCTGGGGATTGGCAGAAAGGACATCCGGTAAATAGTTCATCAGAGCTCTAAGAACTAATCAGCTCATATGGACAGGATCAGAAGTGTTGTATGGGAAAGGAGACACTAACAGCAAAAGAAAAAAAAATATATATATATATAAAAAGGCAGTGAAATAATAATAAAAAAAGTGGTTCATGAACATATATAATGCCAAAGACATTTAAAACCATTATATATATATATATATATATATATATATATATATATATAAAAAAAATTGTCTTTAACAATAAAATATTCTATCAGTACATACACATTAATACACTTCTTGGGGAAAGCGAAAGACATACAATCCATCTCTCTATATACTTTATATATAAGGCAGAAATACTCCACCCCATTTGACTAGAAGAGGGGGAAAAAAAAGAAAAAAAAGGAAAAATGAAAAAAAATTTTTTTACAAAAAATGACAATTTGTTTTTAAGAAAATGACATCAAAGTACTGAGCACAACAGTAAACAAAGTTATACATACATTTGTTATAAAGTATATAGTGTTCTTATACCCTTGTAAAATGACATATTATACAAACATTTAAAATGTATAATATAGACATACATCATATACTGAGAGACCTTGAAGATGAAGAAAATTAAATCTTAACCAGATATTCTAAATAGATTAAGAAAAAAAAAAAAAAAAAACGAACTTCAGCAGAAAAAACAAAATATATTGCTGCTATTATTATAGTGTTTGAAAGATTGTTAATTTGATGTTTTAACTCTCACAAATACATACAGATTCATAGTAATCATTTTCTTTCAAGATATTAATAACTGCAGAGGGGAGGGGCTACATTCTAGACAGAAAGCTAAAAATAGTTTTCTATAGTAAAGTGAAGGAGTAAGAAAAAAGATGAGGACGACACATTATTGCTGAGTCAAATGCCTCTTTTCATACATAATAATTTTAATGTTTTTTTTGTTTTTTTTTTAGTTTTTGGTATTTTTTAATTTATTTTTAAATGAATGGCGCAAAATGGTTTGTTTGTTTCCCTAGTAACCATTAAATTTACCCGTAATCAGTTTGTCTCAGAAACTGAAGACTGCAGAATGGCTGAAATCCAAATCACGGTCAGAATTACAAGAGTCATTCTTGGGAATGTAGATAAAAGTGATTAGATTTGATATCTGCAAGAAGGAAAAGAAAGAAAAAAAAAAATTTTGTGTGTGTGTGTGTGAATAAAAGTGGATTGGTAATTAGACAGCAGGATTAGGGAACAAACTATGTTTAAATCTCATGTTTTTAATGCAGTTCTTTAAAAACTGTCAGAAAAAGGAATGGAAGGTTCGTCTATGCTGCTCAAAGACTGGGAATAGGAATGCCAATTATAGATGGAATTTTTTTTCTTTTTCCTCTAATTTACCTGGTGTGTTGGAGAAAACCAATATGGCACTGTTCAAAATTCATTTTTGTATTTGGCCAGTATTGGCACATAAATTCCTGAAACACACACTGACAACATTTTGTTTTTCTTTCTAAATTGATAACGTCACAGTATATTCTTCTATACAACACTAGTTTGGGGCAGTACACAACAGGTTATCAATCAACATGTATGAAAATAACCCTTAACTCAAAAACAAAAATTGCTAGTATCCTTATTCCATAAGAAATCAGCCATTTGAGTGTCAAGGGGTTTTGTATCAACATTTAGATGAGCAAAATATGGCTAAGATATTTGGGTTTTTTTTTTTTTTTCATTTTTTTCATTTTTTTTTTTTTTTTTTTTGCTTTCTTTCTTTCTAAATAAAACAAAGGAAGACAAATGGATCAAATAATCAACAAATTAAGATTAACTTCAGATAGAATAATAATTTTTTTTGGGGGGGGGGAGGAGAGGTTGGAAGTGAAAGAAAAATTGACGAACACAACAGCCAACTAATGAGTTCTTTTGTATTTTCTCCTGCACTAAGCAGCACTAGCCTACAGCTAACGTCTGTAACAAAGACATGGAAATAACAGGAAAGGAAAAAAAAATCTAAAAAAAACAATCATCCAAGAGCAAAATATTTTACGAGCACAGAAATATAAAATGAAAACCAGAAAGTTTAGACAACAGTTATAGGAGTTTTGAAATGATGTGAGGTGACAAATGAAGAAGTTAACAATCAAGAATTTGCTAAGTTTCAAGAGACATTTGATTGTAGTAAGAACACATGAAGATAAATTTTTTAAATAAAACAAGCAAATCTTGCAGCTCTCATGTTGAGGATTTGTTATCAAGTGATGCAGATAAGCATTCAGATTTCAATACAACTTTTTTCTCCCCTACCGCAAATGTATGTTCATGCCTTACGTGCATCAGATGAATAGCAATGAAGTCACTTTCAGTTGGATTCATAAACACAGCCAGACACTCAACTTTGGTTCAGAGGTAGGCAGGATTTGAACCGATTTTGGATGCAACTAATTTACAAAATATACATATTTCATGTACATACATGTAGGGGGAGGAATTATTAAATAATTGTACCTTCATGTCATGTGCATCACACAATATTGTAAGTAAAAAAAATAGAATCTAAGCTATATATATATATATATATATATATATATATATATATATATATATATATATATATATATATATATATAGAATATTAGAAAAGGATGAGCAGATTTAAAATGAGTCTGCTCAAAAGCTGCTACTGGTAAAAAAAAAAAGTGCTCAATGCCATGAGAAATGGCAGAGCTTCAACATTAAACCAAGACCCTGGTAGGTAGCGACCGTCCACGACTGCCAGTTTCATGTGTTTGTGTGCAATCGTCAAGCTGCCTGATGATTGCACACAAACACATGAATCTAGCAGTCATGGCCAGTCACTGCCTACCTGGGTCTTGATTTAAAATATAATTTTTACACTAAATTATTAAATATATATGTGTTTAATAAACTAAAATATTCCTTTTGCTGGTCATATATTAGGTTGAGTCATAAGTAATTCCAGTTTTTGGGAACCCAGTTTATTAATTTGAAGAATGAAATTGAGAAACAAAAATAGAAATTATGATTCAACCTAATAGTTTCTTCTTTATTCATTACAAAGTACATATAACCTCAAAAAAGAACTACTTGGTTAAGTAGCAATGAGAGCATTTATTGTAATATTGTTTGCTGTAATACTCACTAATAACAGGTTAGTCAATAATCATCACTAAAATTGAAATCAGATATTTTTCCTGATGAAGTTTGCTTTGTGTTTAAATAATTAAGAAACACCATCAAATTCAAATAAATAGTGACGATAATAACAAAAGATGTTGGGGGTGGGGAATGTATGATTAAAATGAAATAGCAGGAGGGATGAGCTTTCTTCATTAACAAACAAAACGGCTTTGGGCAGAGAGGAAAGAAAAATGGCAGAGAACAGCTGTTGAATATCTCCATTCCCTTCTTCATACAAATTTGGAAATATTTCCTTTTTTTTTTTTTTAAATTTATTAACAACAACCAAGTTGTGGACATTTTAGAGTCCAACCAGAAGGAAAATACTAGATCAGCCAACATTAAAAAATAGGCAACATGAAGCTGGATCCTTCAGATAATAATGACAATAACCACATAAAATATTATATACATAAAATATATTGAGAGAAAGAGATATATTTATGAAGGTTATAGATATATATATATATATATTTTTCTTATATTAAATTAGAGTAAGACTTATTATACACACTCTTAAAATACATGGAAGTTTGTGAGAATAGAGAGAAGAAAAAAAAAAAAAAGAGGGCAAAACCTGATAAAGATTTAGTTTAAGGCTTCAAACATCCTATGAATGAAGTCTCAAACTGAAGAACTGGACTTTTATTGAGTTCTCCCTAATATCAAATTCTAGGAGGATCTCTGTTACAAAATATTGATAAGAATTGGTCAAGGTCAATCAGAGATGGGTAATGAAAAAACTTAAGGGATGTTTCCTATATTTCTGTTTGTTTGCTGCTTTTGTCCAAGGCAAGAACAATCAAAACACTAAATTTAAGGAGAATATTAAGGTAAGAACTTTTGTAAAGATAAATAAAATTAAACTTTGGAATGAACATAAAGATTATTTGGCAGTAATGTTTTTTTTTTTTTTTTTTTTCCTTTGTTGAACCTTGAGATACAGTTGAAAATTTTGTTTGGTATTTTAAAAGAGAAAAATTCAGAAATCACTGAAAAGCAAATGAAAAGAACAGGAAGAAAGAATAACATTCATTTTGGATGTTGTTGTTGTTGTTGATGCAAAAATGGGAAAAAGAAAAGGAGTTTAATTTGGAACAGGGTGAAAAATATTATTGTACATCAAGCACTTTCATTGCTAAAGGGAAGTGCAATAATCAAAAAAAAGAATGAAAAGAAACCAAAAAGAGGCAACAGTTTTTAGCACTAAGTAAAAGAATGATTGATATCAGCAAAAATGATTTCAATATGGCAGAGGATCATGTTTTAGCAATTCAATTTTTATATAATTTTTTTAAAGTTTTATTTTTGTAAAATACTTTCTGACTGAGCTTATATAAAATAATCTAAGTAATTCTCTTTCAGATTCCCAAGGCACTGAGCAAAACCTGATTCAAAGATTTCCATTCCTCTGCTATCCACAAGAAGCCAAAATAGCTGACCAAATGCTATCTGAAAAACAAAAAGTAAGTGTAGGCAGTAAGAGTTAATCAGTGCAGGGAGGATCTGGAGGATGAAATAGTGAAAATAAGATGGCCAATAGAGATCAAGTATTAGGTTGGTGCAAAAATAATGTCGTTTTTTGACGTTAAGTTGAACCTCAAAAAATGACATTATTTTTGCACCAACCTAATAGTAATTTAAAAAAAAAAAAAAAAGCAAAGAAAGCTTGCATTTATTTTAATGAATGTACATATGAGCATATTATATATATATATATATATATATATATAAAACATTTTTCTATTTTAAGTGTGTGTGTGTGTGTGCACTTAAATGAACTTAAACCAAAGTTGATGGGTAGAAGAAAAAGTTAAAAAATAAAACAAATAGCAACGTTTTTCTGAAGTAATGTTAATAAAAGCTTTAAATCAAAAGAAAATTGGTAGAAAATCTACCACCCTGAGTAGGTAAGAAGCTTGGTGCTCCTTGCAGGTGTGAGAGTTGTCCCCACACATTGGTGAACACAGTATTTGTGAAGGGGGTCAAGATAGACTGTGTGGCCTAAAAGAAGTGTGGTGAAAAAAAAAGAAAAAAGAAAAGAAAAAAAAAGAAGCTCTAATGATGATTGGTCAAAAAAGAAAAGAGGAAACGTGAGAAAACTGGTTCTCAAGGTTCATATTTTCATTCCCCTGATTGAGTCTTAAGATCAAATAGAATTAACCAATTTGTTTTGATTGCTTGAGCCTTGAAAACAAAAAAAATAACAACCAAAGTCCAGTTTTGTAACTTAAGAATTAACAACCAAGATAAAAATGAGGAGAATCTTGCTGACACCTTCTGGAATAAGTCAATGAATCGGAAAGCTATTAAAACCCACCTCCTCCCGACCCATGAATACCCTGCCATATAACAGAGGTTGGCTCTTTATTAAAAGTTAAAAAAGATAAAAATGTATTGGTGTTTGTTTTATTAAGATCTTGCCCACAGGACAATTTTTCTGTCATTTTTAAAATTTTTATTATATAACTTTTATTTCTTTTGCTATCTTGGTAATATATGAGTCATTAGAGATGATTTTGGAAAATCACAAGCAAAGTTTTGTTTAACCAACATTCACTTGCTTAGTATAACAAAAGAGCCCCCTCTGTATAGAAAAAAAAAAAAGAAAAAAAAAGGCAATCAACAATTTCTATTCCCCCTGGTCAAAGTACATGAACGTTGAAGAAAGTGGCAAAAGCTAGAGATAGTCTATATACCTGCTTCTTGTGAAATATCCCTGAATTATTAATATGTAGATTGGCAGACACTATGCAGTGTTTGCCTGAAGTGTGGTGGGGAAGAGGCCTTTTTTCTTAGAAAATAAATTGCATGAGGGGGGGGGGAGACCAGTAGAACATTTTCATATGGGAAAGATGAAAAAAAAAAAAAAAAGTGTGTATTCTTTCATTTCATAATCAACATGTCAGCATTTGATGTGAATGAGTTTATTTTTTTGGCACCGATATCTACACAGATGATGCAGTGTCAAATAGGGAAGCTTCTCGTTCAACAGCATTTACTCCCTGCCTGCCTCCCTTAGTAGTACAAGAAACATGCTTGTAAATATCTACATTTGGATCAGGGGAAATTCTCCATACAGTAAAACAGTAAAAAAAAAAAAAAAAAAAAAAATAAAAATAAAAAATAAATAATCAGCTTCACTTTAATAATACTTATGGTTTACTTAAAGCAATAACAAGTTAATTCCAATAACTCTGAGAAATATCTGAGAGTGTTGGCTAATAAATTATACATTCACAATTGACAAAAATTAATGAAATTACTATTTCTACAATAATTATATTTTTGAGGTAACCATAAATGAATGATTGACCCATGAATAAACCAAATAGACTACATGTACTTTGTACACTGCATCCAGTCATTAGATGCACATATCAAGTTTCCATAAAACTTCACATAGGTATGGATTAAAGAATTATAAATAAAGTTAAAACTGCTTCTGAAAAGTTAATTCTAATTTTTCTCAGCTTAAAATATATCAAATATTTTTTTAAACTAAAATCTCAATTTAAATCATTAAATGGGATAACACAGATTATTTTTTTCTTTCAATAAACAAAAGAAAATTAAATAAGTATAAATTAAATATTGTATTTAACAAAAAAAAATTCTATCTTAAAAAAAAAAAAATAAAGAAAAAAAAAAAAGGAATGTTAGATTAAGATGGACAAGTCTATTGATTGATAGACCGAAAGGTGATGGGGGTCAATTGCTAATCTTAGAAACTATAGGATGAATCTTAATTCAACAGGGGGGGAAAAAAAAAAGTTTTTTTTATGGGGGTTAGGGATTGACTTGGAAACAAATGATTTATGTCCAAGAAGAAAATTCATAATATTCACAATGAGGAATGTCAAAGAATATGGGATTCACAACTAACATTTTGGAAAGAAAAAAATCCTGCAAAAATATGAGAATTATGAGAATAGAAATTCTCTGTAGCGTAATAGAAAATGGTTGGTATTACTGTAAACTCTGCAGAACCTTTGTAGAGCAAACACACACACACACACACAGACAGAGCATCCATCCATCCATACCCAAATGGCAAATCAGAACAAAATATACATTCCTGATAATTATAATAAAAAAGGGATATAAAGGTTTTTTTTTCTTTTTTAATAGTTGAATATTTGCAAACAATAAATTTTAGATATCCTTGCCGTTAAGTATCTTTTTTCATCTTATCTTTCTTGTATGCTAGCAAGAAAATGCTCATACAAAGGAACTGTCATAGATAGATTAGAAATCCTTGCAGAAATTTGTTTCAGAAACACCAACCCAACAATATTAAAAATAAGAATAATGTATATGGAAAATATTTAGGAGGCCTGAGTAAATGTGAGGTATTCCAATGTGTCAGTTTTTTCCTTTTATAATTTTATGGATCACATACAAAACTATTAAACAAACAGGTTAACATACATGCACACATATTATATATATATATATATATATATATATATATATGGATAGAAAGATATAATTAAGAGTGTGAAGGCAAGGTTGGCACTATTGACTTAGAGATTCAGATCTTAAAAGACAAAAGGAGACATCACACAATTCACTTCATTAATCATACACCACATATATTGTTGTGCCCAGTGCTTTGAAATCCAGAAAGTATTTCCAGTAGACAAAACAAGGGGGGGAAAAAAATATACAAAAACATTCAAGTCAGACTTTACCAATATGGTAAAGCAGGCAGCCACCATTTTCAACCTCTGGCTCAGCTTCCTGCTTGTACTTTTGGCAAATGTGACTGAATTTTCAGTAAAATATTTGCACAACCCCACCCCCTCAATCTAATTTTTTTTTTTTTTTTATAATTTTAAACACTGATGTGTTTGTGTGTGTATTTATATTTACTTTTTAAGGTTTTTATTGTTCATTTTATGTTTTCAATTTTTTTTTGTTTTTAGTCCCCAGCATGCTCTGCTAGACTAATACAAGATATTTACTCATTTTGCTGGCCCCTATAATTATAAAAGGGTTACTTAACAGAAAGATGTAGAAATAATAGAGAGGAGGGGGGCACACGGTTGGAGCCTTTTTTTTTTGTTAGGTTTATTTATTTATTTTTTTTTTTTTTTCATTCATCTTGCTTTTTCATTCAGACTAGTCAGCATGCCACTTAGGAAGAGGAGGCTGACCCCATATCTATCACTGGGTCCCCAGAAGAAAATCTCATTTGGCACAGTTCTGTGTAAGCTTCACTCGCCTATCTCTGCAAAACCAGATGATGATTCTTGATTATCGGCAAGTTTTCTTTTCTTGGAATAATGTTCAATTCTTGATTCCAGGCTTTCTGTGAATGGAGATAAAAAAAAAAAAAAAAAAAAAAAAATAAATATTAGGGGATAACACTCCAGCTTTATCAACAGTGCAATTGTAGGTAGCTGAATTTAGGAGGAGAAGGAAGAATCTTGGTCTGTACATTCTGCAAATAAACCTCATTTGGTCATATTCCATGAGAGTATCCTGGTCAGCCTATGAACTTTTCAGCTGACCCTCGTATGTAAGCCACATATTGTAAAAATTAAAATAAATGAAAAATACACAACCAATTTGAGTTTCATACAGGATGTGGCCTAATTTACAGCCTACCAAACATTTGCATTGGTGACAATTTAAAAATAAATTTTGACATGAAAATGTTACAACCCCCAGTTTAGAAAGCCTTGATCTAATGAATAAAAACATTGAAGCTCATCTAATATTTTTTGAAATCAGGAATTCAATTTCCATGTCAGATAATACAAAAACATGCACTGACTCTTGGGAGGCAGAACTGACATTTGAGTTCTGAAATTCCCTCAGAAAAATATGACAATATACCCAGAATACTACAAAATGCAACTGACTGAAGGATTTAGTGGCCAAAATGTGATAAAAAAAAAACAAAAAACAACAACATAAGGGAAATATAGAAAAAAAAAAATCATTAAAATCTTTAAGCTTCAAAAATATTGTTAAAGAAAAATTTCAGGTATATAGCTTCACATATTCAAACAGACAAAAACATCCAAACATTGCACATTCAAATAAACAATAAATCAAATGAAATTTAGCTGTTGGGGTTGGAAATAAAATCAACCCTGAACTAAAATCACATTAAATGCAAAACTTACCTACTTTATGACAACTATTCATATACTCTTCAAAGAAAAATGCACTTATGGAGATTAATGAAAGAGCACTTAAAAATTAAAGTAGCCAAAAATCCACCTAAAAAACAGAAATTTAAAATAATTTCTGTTAAAAGCCTAAAATGGATCTATGTCTCTTAAGTGATTGTAAACTTTAACTTAGGTACCTCCACGAGATCGCTAAAAAAGAGCATAGCATGATGAAAAAAGACGCCAAACTTGACTTAAAAAACAAAATTTTAGCGTCTAAATGTTTGTTATTCATTAAGAGGAAAGGTCAAAGTATTTTGGGGTATTTTTTTCCATTTTTTAATCGTTCCTAGCACGTCCGAAATTTTCGTTAAAAAATCTAGTTTTTTGAGTCAGCAAAATTGACCATTTTTTTCCATTTTAAAAAACTGGAAATCTGACTTTTGAAATTTTTTAAATATCAATTATCATTTTTCAAAACTTATTTTAAGAAAATCAGAAAATATAATGTTTATTTAAAATATTTTGAACCAAACTTAAATTAGCTTTTTGTGCCAAAAAAGATGTAATTTGAAAATAAAACAAAGCAGGTCATAAACTTTCGCGTCTCTTGACATGCGATGAATGATATATTTACGAATTCCATGAGGCTAATTTGTTCTACGGAAGGAGAAAAGTGAAATAATTTACATTTACGTGAACAAATTATTTACCCCGTTATTTTTAACGTAAAACTTTCAGCGGTCTAATTTTTTTTTTTTTTGTACTTAGCTTTCACCTTTACGTTTATGATGCTTTATGGGAAATATATTGTAAAGAAATTAAAATAAAACTGTTAAGAGTGACATTAAATTTCATATTTCTTAAGAAAGGTATCTAATTAATTTATAGGTACCTTTCTTATGAAATTTTATCAGAATTGTACATAAAATACTATAATTTTATGTACATTTATTACATTCTACTGTTATTTGTATTTGCATTCATTTTATTATTAATTTTGATATTTCATTTATGGAAAAATGTCGTAACTGAGATTAATATAAAATAAGATCATATAAATTTCATAAGATGATACTGATACTTGTAGGTAACCTTCTCAGTTGAAATTGAAAAATCAAATTAACTTCTCCACACGTGTTTCTTTAAAAAAGTAAAAGGCCTTAACAGCGGAGAACAATGCTTAACTCAAATATTCGCAACTTAATTATATTCTGTTGGTCTTCCGTATTTTATAATTACAGCTCGATTATAAGCACAAAATTACATTTCTTAATTACTGGGGATCTTCTGATTAGTCAAAATGATACAATTTACAACGCGCTAAAAAAAGAACTATCTCATAAGGACACTTATGAAAGCCTGTGCGGCTTTTTAACTAATTTTATAATATTTTAACAACTTAAAATGTAAAATCTATTATAATTAATGAAATAACAAATAATTGTATTAAAAAATTCATTTTCATCGAAAAAATTTTTTGCTTTCAGAAAATATTGTCCATATTCATAAAAACAACTAAAAGCAAATAAAAGCATTTGAAATTAAATAATATCTTTGTTTTATTGAGTTTTGTATGTTACAATTCAGAGATGATTTTCAGGTACTGGGTATCCAATTAAAAAACAAAAAAAAACATGATTTGCATTCCTCAAAGCCCTGTGCTTTTTAATTATTGTAATCACTAAAACCGATGCGATCGAATTTCTAGCGTTTTCATAAAATTAGTTAGGGGAGTTATGGTGGTAATAAATATTTTAAAAAAATATTTCTACCATGACTTTCATAAAAAAAAAATATATTTATAATAATTTCGATCATCTGTGAATAGTTCCTGAAAGTTTCATTAACATCCGATAATTATTTCTATTTTTGCACGATTTTTCAAATTAATGTGTGTCATACCAAAAAAACGTGCTAAAAATTGTCTATGTTATTTACTAGTTCCACTGATACAAATAAAAACAAGGTTTTTTTTAATCAAAATTTAGAATTTTCTAAAAAGAAGGAAAATTTTTTAAGAATAATTAAAAAAAACTTTGGTCTTTTCCTCTAAATAATAACATAAACATTTAGACAATAAAATTTTGTTTTCGCAAGGTTACGTCTTTTTCATCAAGCTATGCTCTTTTTTAGCGATTTCGTGGAGGTACCTACTTTAACTGTATTTATTGAATAATAACTTACTTTCAAATCACAATCACTTGGATCACACACAGTTTAAATATCTCTATGGAGATTACACAGAAAATTTCAAGTATCCTCAGTCTTACCATAAATTTATCCATCCCAATAATAACTACAGCAAATTTGGTCACTGTAGCAGTTTTGAGTTATGTAATGACAGACAGGCAAAGAAGGACATTTAGTGAATTATAGTAAAATCCTTGTAAAATATGTGAGAGCTGCAAAAACTATCATATTATACACCAATGCAAGTAAAGTTGGCGCTTACCACAAGTTTGTCTTTGCAATAAAGGTTTATAATGTCGAGGCTTGCAACCTGGCGTCAACCATTCACTTTGGGCAAGTATTGGCTCACTCAACTCACACCATGGAGCAATGTCAGTGTCTGAAAATTTAATTTTAACTTAAGTTAATGTACCTAACAAGGGTAAATAAAATTGCAAAGATTCAGTAAAAGATTTTACATACAAAATGAAAATTTAAGCATTCTTGAATATTTCTAATTAAAAACTTCATAAAGAAACAAGATCAAAACAGATACAAGAAAATAAATTATCTTTCTAGTTAGGAATAAAGTGATGCCTATTTATTTTTATAGTTTTTAATTAATGTTACTTTTAATTGAAGGAGTGAAAGAAAGAGGAGTATTGTCTATAAACTATGAGAAAAAAATCATTATCGCTCTTGGAAAATTGAATCTTTTGTCTTTCAGCATAATGTCATCATCACTTGGAAAGAGGAGAGTGGCATTTCAAAATCAAACTTGTAATGTTTGCTCTAAGGTGTACAAATATTCAAAGTTACCACTTATTTCACTTGCATGAATAACATACCTATTTCGGACCCCAAAAGAATGCTAACTTATTTTGCATTATTTTGCTTCATTGAGAAATGAAATCTTATGAGAAATCCAGCAAGTAACCCAAAGTTTGGCAAATATTGCAGCAGGAGCAGGAACAGGTACCACAAGAAGAAAGAGAGGGTCATAAAGGAGAAAGTATTGCTGAGGGTAACAAAAGGCAAGATGTAGAGAACCATGACTGCCTACATCTTGAAGAGACACAGCAGAGAGTTTAAGGAAGTTAGCACTTACATAAATCTCATGGCTTTTACTAACAAAAAAAAAAAAAAAAAAAAAAAGATATATTTTGAAAAACAAAGCTAAAATTGATGAAATAAGAAGTTCAAACTATTTTAAATAACAAAATTACCAAATACAATGATTATGTTTAAAAAATTATCCAATTAAATAACAATTCAAAGAGAAAACATCCAGATATTAATAAAAATGTTCTTATTTTTGCCCTGCAAATAGGTGTTGATTGTGTCAAGGTCTGTATCATACTAGAATAAAGTGTAAGGGTAATTTTATTTGGCTTTACATTTGTAGTAAAATTAAAACAAGCAGTCATCTTATTACATGGATAACCAATAGTGTATATATAATTTCCGTTGTCTCTGTAGTGTTATTTCTTTTTAATGTGCTACCAAAATAGAATGCTTTGTCTTCAAAAAGTAAACAAAGCTTTTTAGTTCCACAAAAATAGATGGTAGTTGTACCATTTGTCATTTATTATTAGATGAAACATTGCCATCCATTGATTTTTCATTGTTTTGGTTACTTTTTATTACAACTATTAGTCATTCTACTATAACAGAATTACTGGTGTGGATTTTAAAACTGAGTGAATCTATGACTGGTGTTGTCTGGAATGAGAATTAAATTGAGAAGATGATGTGAAAAAACATGATCAGCCAAGCCAGGTGACTTGGATTTTATTAGCATGCTAAAATACCCTGGGGTCTGGTTTTTCTAGTAGACTTTGAGAAAGAAGAAGCATTCAATTGCAATAAAATGAATTAATATCTACAATTGCTTGTGTTGGAAATTGTGAATTAACAGGGTTTTTAGTTAGTATGATAGAGTGAAACAAGGAGTACTCACTCTTAACACCCACCAGAAAAATTGAGATAAACCAGCAGGCCTTAAAACCTAGGTTAGTTCTGACCAAAATTCAAACATGGTTGTTTTTCATTCCATTCATTCTTTTTGCCTTGGGAATTCAATCAACCCTGAATGTGTCAGAGAATTAAGTAATCAAAATTATTCCTTTCTACTATGCTCATATGCAAATCAACTTTAACATGACACCTGAAAGGAGCATATTTCTGATATACACAGATCAGTCAAGTAGTACAGGGCAGTCGGTCAGAAGAGTAGTATGGTGCCGAAGTACAGACCAGAAGAACAAAAATGTAACAAGAGCAGTTGACCACCCCTCATGTGATACTTCTTTTTTTACTTTCCTTGTAACATGTTCCTTTCACTTCTGAAGACATTTTGAGTAGCTTTGCCTAAGACTGCCACAAATAAAAAATTTAAACAACATAGGTAGGGAATATTGATAGGTGCAGTGAGATACTGAAATAGGCAGTGACCTCAGGAGTCAAGAGCAGGATTCTTGTTATATACAGTCAGTTATATACAACTGATCAGAAAGAGAGGATGCCACAGAAGAGATATGAAATTGTATCCCTTTCTCTCAGGAAGCCTGACTTCATTTTCCTCTCGATGAAAAGGGATGCAAATTCAAATCTCAACTGTAACTTGTTCTTCATTATTTCCAATCTGTGCTGCATACTAATAACCAAAGAATGAGGAGTTGCAAAAAACAAACAAACAAAAAAAACAAACCCAAAAAACATTGAATAAAAAGAAATAAACCTAAAAGATTAAGGAGAACTATTAACAAATTTCTGAAAGAAAATCTTTTAAACATTCAAAAGAAAGCAGTGTCAAAAGTCAAAAGAAAAAAAAAAAAAAGAATCTTACCTGTTTCAACTTTATGGCTATTTAACCCTTCAAGCATTTGCTTAACCATAGCTGCCCTGAAAATAAACAAAGGAGAATTTTCTTTTTTTTAATTTGAGTGAAGATTATTTTTGTGCTTTGCTAAAATAAATGTATTTTAAATTTAGATTTCCACTAATCACCCCACATATTTCAGAAAACAAGATATTTAGTTAATTACGTAATTTAGTTAAGATATTTAGTTAATTTTCCAATTTATTTGATAGAGGTGGGGAAAACCCAAAATTATATACTGTATATACTCGCAGATAGGTCGCCCCACTGGATAGGTTGCTCTCCTACTTTATGGCTTAATAATTGATGATTTACTGTTGACTTGCAGATAGGTTGCACTATAATCTGGGGGAGTTACACAGCCCTTTTTTAATGTAAGAATTATCAGATTTCAACCTTTATTTTCAAACTTACAATTATTAATACACTTTTGCAGTTAAAATACATTTCATCAATCATCATGTAAACAAAAGGAAGTAAGTGTTATACTAGTATTTTATATTTACTACATATTATATTAATTTAAAACCTGCTTTATAATTCTTTCTTTTACTTATGATTAGGGTTTGCAACAATTAAAATTATAAACTATAAATTTGGCTACCAATTATATAACTGTGCAATGCAAAATAGTGCAAAGGTTTTGGGTACTAGATTCATGCACTTATTTGTGAATAACACTTAAGAACGCCTTTTAATGTTACATGAAACAACCATTAAAGAAAATTATCTCATAATATATTTCATTTCTTTAAGTCATATTTTCCAATGTATTTTTGACAAAATATACATATTTTGCAGAATGAATTGTGGGACTATTTTTTCTTTGTCAATAAACATCTACATGTGGTTCCTTAACTTATGTATGCATGTTCAGTATATATGATAGATAAAGTGTTTCTATATGGAGAAAAACCATAGCTTTAGTGTTGATGGGTATCATTTCCGATTTCTCAGAAATCGGAATGACAAGGTAGTGTTGTTTTGTTTGAACGGATAGGTCACACTCCTAATATTTTGTGAAATTTTTGGTAAAAAAGGTGTGACCTATCAGCAAGTAAATACAGTAGATGATCATTTACAAGCAGATATCTATATAGTAATTTTTGTCTGAATTTCTGGAATGAGGCATTACCATTATTTCCAGTTGGATTAATGTTCTCTTCTTTGCCAAGTGGCATACTAACAGAGTGCAATCAAGTTATAGTAATACAAACTCAGAGTGAGCAATAAAAAAAAAACCTAAAGACATTGAGTTTGGAATGAAAACAATTTACTTCCTACAGATTACATAAAAGTTTCAGTTCAAAAGCCCCCTGAAGGCTACCCGAATTACTGGACACCTGAAGAAAATCAAATGGTATAAAAGTTGAAACATTGTGATAAAATTTAGAACATTGGTCCCACTATAAATAATGTGTATAATATTTTGCAATTCATTAAATCATCAGAGTCCATCAGAATAAAGAAAAATAAAAGGAAATTAGTATACCATATTCAGCAGATAAACTTATAATGACTTTATTACTTCAGAAATATAAAAGTATTGAATTCAAAACCATTTTAAGAAATTTTGAATTTTGTTTTAGTTTAATAAATCTGCATTTATTAGGTTCCCATTCTTAAAACAGACATCTTATATATAAAAACATTTTATTCATACAAAATTCATTTGAAAAGTGGGCATGAACCACAAAACTGTGTAGACAGGAAAAGAATTAAAAATAATTCAAATACAGATATTAATTTACAGTAAATTTTTCAATTACAAATATTATATATATATATATATATATATATATAAATAAATAAAAATGATCGCCATTGGCTTCAACCATGCCCTTCATACAACTTTGGAATCTCCTGCAACTCTTCTGGATAGTCTCCTTATTTAAGTTGGTGAATACTGCCATAATCCTTCAGTTCTTCAGTTCATCTTTTGTTGGTCAACTGTGCCCCACACATAATAATCAATGGGATTGCAGTGTGGGGAGTTAGGTGGCCAGATGTAAGGGGTGATGTGGTTGCAGAAATTGTCTGACAGCCATGATTGGGTTCTCGTGCTTGTGTGGCATGGTGCAGAGTCCTGTTGCCAGACAGAATCTTCCAGCAGCCACTCTCTTGACCCAGGGCAGGACTACCTCCTCAAGACACTTGATGTAGGCCTCCGTGTTGAGTCTGAGGCCCTGTTTGAAGATGAATGGAGGCCTAACATTGCCATCACTAATAATCACTCAAAACACCTTTGTAATCACCATTTGTTTCATCCAACCCTTTCCAAATCCTCTACACTGTTCTTAGATTGACACTCAAACACTCTGAAATTTGCATATTGGAGCTTCTGATGTGAATGCCAAGCAGTACAGCATGCCGTTTCTAAATTTCTGGCAGAGTAAATTGTGTCATGGTGCTTTTTTCTCACAGTGTACAACTGGTCCTACTATACTCTACAGTCGACAAAATCAAAAACAAATACCACACATGCACAAAATTAAAAATATTTACCCATCGCACCCTGTATATTAGTTAAATACTGGAGATAGCCCTAAAAGGATTTGACAGCTGGGACAGGAGTTAACAAAAATCTTTTTTTTTTAAATCTATAGAATACGGAAGTCAAAACATTTCATCTTAATTTCAGTTTCTTGAAACATAGTAACGATTAACACTTAAGAGAAAAAGCTAGTAGATACTCACTTGATTGCATGTTGGGCCCATATCTTTTGTAAGTGTCGGATATTTTCCTCATGACAATCTGAAAGGAAAAATAGAAAGTTTTGATAAAAACAAAAAACTCAAGATCAAATAAAATCTGCTATTAAATACTATTAAATAAACTGCTATCCTAATAAACATTATTTTTTGTTTTGAACATTGAGGAGGTGTTGATTGAATCTCATTGTTCAGGCTGGAAAATTTTCAGATATATATATGGCTAAAATATAGTTTTAAGGTATGGTAAATGCTCAATATCAGAGATAGAGCATATGGAAATATAAAAGTGGACATTGAAGTCAACACCCAGCAGTGACAGACTTCAATGTCAACTATATATATATATATATATATATATATATATATAAAAAATAAATGTGTGTGCGTACAAGCAATTCACTACAACCAAAACCAACTACTTGAAAAATAGTAGAAGAGAGTGGAACAACAATTTTTTTTCAGCTAACTCAACTTGTAAATGAAACAATTTAATTCTCACAACAGAAAATAAGTGGAATAAAAATATTGACAAGCTTTTCTGACATGTCTATATCTGAGATTAATGTTTTATTTCCATTTGCATTGGCTATTTTTGACATGGTGACTCTTCACTGCAAACAAGACTCTGACGCTTTCTATAATTAGGATATTTTCAATATTCTTCAAAAAGAAGAAAAATTAAATACTGACCAGCTTCAATGACCCAGTCCAAGTCTTCTTCAGAAAAGTGACAATCATACAGCACCAATGGAAGTTCTGAAAAATAAATTTTGGAATATATGAAGAAGAGCCAAGAATTAAATGTTTCAAATGCAAGATTTTGCTATTCTCAATCTCACTAGAAACATGTGAGCCAATGTTTGTTTTTTGTTTTTTTTAAATACCCAATAATTAATTAAATGATTAAAATTTATTAGCAACACAACAGGTGATGCAATTATAGAAAATTATTCGCCATTTGGTTTCTTGAAATGCAACCAAAAGACATTCAAGCCTATCTAGAAAATGATTATCAATAATTATTAACACCACAATGTGCATTCATGCCCACATACACATATATATATATATATATATATATATATTTATTAAGCAACATATCATTCAAACATGTTTTGTTGAATAATCTAGATATTATATCTATTTTAACCCTCCCAAATTCACAGATCAATTTCTTAATGTTTTTATATATTATGAAATGGACAAAATCCGACAATTATTTTAAGACGTTTTTTATGTTTATATGTTCTTTTTATAGATACAAATATCTAAGTAAATGCTGTTTACAATAAACAGTATTAACAACATTTACTGGCTTGAATGTCCAAGAGATTTTCATAGAAAATACATGTCCTCCTATACGGAACTGTCATATAGCCTAACGTGCTTTACTGATTTAGCCACAGAGGAGTGTTTCAGTTAGCAAGGTCGATTTTACTGTTTTTAAACTGCAATACTCCATGATTTTCTCTTGTACATTCATATCTGCTTGATGCGTATCCAAATGTAAACAAATGACGTCCCACATTATGAAATAGACAAAGTCTGACAAGACATTTTTTTTATGTTTATACGTTCTTTTTATAGATACAAATATTTAAGTAAATGCTGTTTATAATAAGCAATATTAATTACATTTACCAGCCTTAAAATAATTGTAGGACTGACAGGTCAGAATCAATAACATAGACCCTACTTTGGATTTTGTCAAAAATTCCGAGATGTATAGCAGCAGCAAAACCCAACCCAAGGTGACAGCAGTATTGAATGCAGACAGACAAATGGTAGGTTTATAAAAATGCAAGATGGATTCTAATGAGAAAAATTGTCTGGCATGAAAGTGTGAGCCAACTTTCCTAGTATTGGCCCTAATAATTGATTGAATATAATCATTCCGCTTGGAAAATTTGAAACCAGGAAGGCACAATGGCTTTTGCGAGAGGTTAGAATCAGCCATGTTGATGGAAGGCAAAAATATTTAACTAAGATTCATTTTGGAGGTGTTAAAATTTACAAGCCATTGCCCTAGTTAGCAAATGACTAGAGGTTGTTTTCAAGATCAGCTGCCAGTTTTACTTTATTGAGCCAACTATTAAGACAGAAGTAAATAGTTGTGTCAGCAGCATAAATACCAAGTTGAGAACTAATGACATTGGGAAGACTGTTGAGGAAGATAAGAAACAAAGTAGGTCCAAGGATAGAGACGTGAGGTCTCCCTGCATTAATATGAAAGGATCTAGATGAGTGGCCATTCAATATGACTTTCATTACATGAAATATGAAAGATTGAAACAAAAATACAACCAGAGACACCATAGTCCTTCAACTTGTGAAGAAGGCCACCATATCAAATCTTTGAGATATCTTAAGCCACAGCTCGAACCAAGTTATTCTTATCTAATTGCTTGACAGACTCTCTTGAAGTTGATTCATTGGCAAAACATACTAAATTTTCCTCATTGTCCTTTTATAGATATGGCGCAAGAACAGTGTGTATATTTCTATACATACACGTAAAAGCAAAGCTCTGTTTATAAATTGGATTTGCATAAAATTTTCATTTTACACACACACACTCTATAAAATGAAAACTGTGATTAATGCACTTGACCTAAGAGTCTTATAACAAATTAGTCACTTTGACAAAGGGATCCATTATAACAGAAGAATGTAGTCACAATTATGCAAATAATCTGTTGAAATGTTTTTCTGTAGTTGAATAATTATTGAAAATATCACTTTGGCTTATTGTCTGATGATGAGCTCACCTGAAGCCATATTGTACTGAGGTCTTCGAGGGTTTTTCTCAATGTTCAGCAGTTCATCAATAATCTGGAAAGAGCAAACAAAACAGTGCAAGATATTGAAAGAGAAAGAATTCATATTTATAATTGCAACTATTAATATATATATATATATATATATTATATATATATATATATATATATATATGACATCCTAAGAGGCTTGGCCAATAACATGGTGGGAGGAATGAATTTATAAAATATCACTAAAGGCTTAAAAAGTGTTATTTAAAAAAAAAAAAGAAAAGAAAAAAAGAACACCCTTGATGGTTTTATATTAAAATCCTTTCCATTTATAAAGTTATGAGTACCAGAATCTAGATTATTTCCCCACCACCCACCAAAAAAACAAAACAAAAAACAATGAAACTCAAAAATGGGCATTGTCTAACGGAAACTCACAATACCTTGAAGGCTGCCATTAGATCTGCACATACAATAATTCTCATGACCACATACATAACATTGTCATGGGTGGTTTTATTGAAAAACCTTTTTACCGTTTTTATAAATTGAATTTTTTTTTTTTTATTTGAAGATCTTTTGTTTTTCTTTTATATTATTTGTTCTCAATTGTCCTGCACCCATTGTACAACCCAAATATTTATCCAAGACATCTGTCTGTGACTATTACAGATAAAAAAAAAGTGCGCAATGATTTATAGAGTAGTTGTCTTAAGGTTCCAAAGGGGACGGGGGGGGGGGGTGTCAGGAAAAAAAAAAAAAAAAAAAAAAAAAAAAAAAAAAAAAAAAAAAAAAAAAAAGAACCCTGTTCAAATGCATTGAATTTTAGACTTAAGTGCTTATTCCTGAAAAGAAAATACTATAGATGAAACGAAATGTTCTTACCTCAGGAGATTCTTTGCCTTCTCCAATGAGAAATAATACAGCAATAATACAACGGATTTGATGCCACAAAAATGCCTGACCAACAATACACAATTCGCATATCTCATAACCATTTGGTCTGCAAAAAGAAAACAAAAAAATAGCATGCTAAATTCATTGAGACTTTCACACCATCTTTATTCAGAGTCCAAAGAAAATAGGCTGTTTTTATTATTTCAAACAAATCTAGCTTCAGTCAGAATTATTTTTTCACCTTTGTTAATGAGCCTAAGTTTTCTAGAATGCAAAATTGACTAAGAAAGGTTAATATAAACTGAAGGATTATGCCAGATTTTTAAAAACAAAAAAACAATCACTTTCGCTTTGTCACCTGAAAAACCTAATGAATTTGATTCTTCAAGATTTGAATAGTCTTAAATTACTTAAATAGTTTAAAACTTCTTCAATAAGTAGTTAAAAATATATGTATTTAATACAAGGTTGCCAGAACACACTGCTTCTTTTAGAAGCACACCACTAAATTCCAAATTTCTCTACTTTTGACATTTTGGACTCCTTTTAAAATAATCTGGTCTAACTAGGGATACAAAAAAGATAGTGAACCCAAAGTTGAAACTTTGTTTAGTAATTTTTGTATTGCACTGACAATAAATTAACATTTTTTCATGTCTTTAATGGTAGAAAAATTAACAATGATGACCGAGAGATTAAAGAAAAAAAAAAAAGAAAAAAAGCTGCACTAATTGATACTCATGAAATATTATTTACTTACCCTTGCTCTACGACCATAATATCAACTGAGAGAATCTTCCTCCTGCAACTCACAACCCCATTTGACACATCCAATTTACAGAAATTTCGGAAATCATGTTCTCCAATAAGTTTCTGACTAGACTCTGCCATCAACTGTAATAAAGAAATTATTTTTTCCTCAATCAGGTTTATAACAACCACTCTCCAATTGTTCATGCTGAAAGCAACACTATATAAATTTACAATAGTAATTTTCAGTATCGAGAGTTGTACTAAGTAATAAATGAATTTGGAACAAAGTTTGAGAGAAGAACATAAATAAAAGGAATTAAGATATTTTTAACAGAATTTTTGGTGACAAAATAAAACCAGGTATATATTTTCATAAATCAGTTGTGATGTTCTGTATATTGTTTAGAATTAGAGGGTAAATGATAGTAGCAATGAAATAAGGAGCTATAGTGGTTTCCTCTAACAGTGGAGTTAGATACTGCTTCAAATGCACACTATAGCATATTTCAATGACCTAGAAGTTCATTTCTACCATATACAATGATGGTCGCATTTAGGATGCACTGAATATCATCATAAACACAATAAGAGCAAATAATGTTT